GGTGTGTGTGTGTGTGTGTGTGTGTGTGTGTGTGTGTGTGTGTGTGTGTGTGCGCGCGCGCGCGTGTGTCTATGTCTATGTTTGTGTATGTGTGTGTGCACACATGTGTGTGTGCATGTGTGTGTGAGTACACATGTGTGTCTATGTCTGTGTGTGTGCACATGTGTGTAACGGGATCGTGCACGCGCATGTGTGTGTGCGCGCATGTGTGTATGTGTGTGCACGTATTGTAGCATGTGTGTGTGTGTGTGTATGGTGTGTGTGTGTGTGTGTGTATGGTGTGTGTGTGGCATTGTAGCATGTGTGTGTTTCTGTGTGTGGTGTGTTCATGTTTTTTGTCCTTGATTATCCATCTGAAGTTAGTTCAAAGCATCTTTTAAGAAAACAGTGCACAGGACTGGAGAGATGTCTCAGTGGTTAAGAACTCTGGGTTCAAAAAAAAAAAAACCAAAAACCAAAAACAAACAAAAAACAACAACAGCAAAAAAAGAACCCCGGGTTCAATTCCCAGCATTCACGTGGAAGCTTATAATTGTCTGTAACTGCAATTCTAGGGGATCTGACATAAACATGTAGGCAAGACACCAATGCACATAAAATAAAAATAAATAAATCATTTAAATAAAATAATCTAAAGCCGGGCATTGGTGGTGCATGCCTTTAATCCCAGCACTCGAGAGGCAGAGGCAGGCGGATCTCTGCGAGTTCGAGGCCAGCCTGGTCTCCAGAGTAAGTGCCTGGATAGGATCCAAAGCTACACAGAGAAACCCTGTCTCAAAAAAACCAAAATAAATAAATAAATAAATAAATAAATAAATAAAATAATCTATTTTTAAAAGAAGAAAATAGTGTATAAGGCTGGAGGAAATGGCTCCTCAGGTAAAAAGCACTTGTCACACAAGCCCAAGCATGGAGAACTGACCCCTGGAAGTTGTCCACATAGCATGTGTGCACCACCTAGCCCCATCAATACACACACAATAACAAAAATAGAAATTAAAAACAAAAAAAGTTATCACTTCTCAGCCTCTTGGCTAAACTCAAGAATAGGAAATAACTTAGCAAGGTTGGAAGTCAAATTCATACAGCGTTTGGAAATGAAGGGCATATAGAGCTCTGTCTAACTGCTTCCTCCCCCCATAGTTCTCCAACATTCCTATCCTTCCAAAATAAGAGCCCCTTGCATAAGGCGTCTCTTGAGTTAGAGAAATAGTAAGCCAGGTAACCAAGGTTCAGTTGGGGAAGCATTGCCTTCTCATGGTGAATCAAAAAAGAATTGTAAAATGTGTTTTAAAACCTTTGAGAGGACACAAAGAGGTGGCTCACAGAAGCAGGCCAGTAACCATAGGGGCAGGGCCTCAGCAGCCTCTCCCAATGAGACAGATGCAAGCAAGACATCACATTTTACAAATGGGATTAGCAAAGATAAAAGTGATTGATGGTGCCAAGCATTGGCAAGGGCGTGGGGAAGCAGGCTTGTTCATCCAACCACTGGTTGGGGTGTAAATTGGCATAACCTTTGGGGAAAGCAATTTGTCATCCTCTGTTAAATTTTATACCCTCTGACTTCTAGGAATGGAGCCTACAGAAGTGCCCGTGCACTTATGCCAAGACATAAGTAAAAGGTTCTCTTGTATGGAAATACTGTTTGAGATGGAAACAGTCCAAATGTCTGTTAATAGGGTGTTAGTTAAATGATGTCTGTACACCAGAACACAATGACACAAACGGGGAAAAAGAATAAGATAGCTGTCTATGTGGTAACACGGCAATGTCACCAAGATGTAGTAAGAGATAAAGCAAATCTCCAAATAAGCACGGATAGTATAGTCTCTCTTCCTATGAAATCATGTGTACATAATCTTGGTGAGTCATATGTACCAAACAGTCACCCGTGCTTTCCTTGGGACAGGATTCAGCATTGTAGAATGTGTATGTTTATCTAATGAATGTCTATAAAAGTTTGAACTCTTTTTTTTTACAATGAATATGAAATGTCTTTCAATCAGAATGAAGAAATAATAATTTTGTAACATTGGTAGACAGGGTGGCTGTCACTGGCTAACAGTTACATACTCTGTGCCAGAAACTGTTCTGAGCACCTTTTTACTGCATTCAGTAAGTTGTGCAGTTCAAGGAAGCATCCGTCACACCAAAAGGGGACCTGGTTCCTGAGCTGTCAATTTGACTCTGTAGAATGCTTGCCTACCATGTACAAAGTCCTGGGTTCTATACCTAGTACCTAATAAGCCAGGCATGCATGCCTGGAGTACCAGCACTCGGGAATGAAGACAGGAGGACCAGAAATTCAAAGCTATATCCTCAGCTATGTAGTGAGTCTGAGGTCAGACTGGACCACATGAAAAAGGGGGGGGGGGGAGTAAAGCAAAACAAAAATGAAAACTTTGGTTCCCATCAGTAGACCCTCCCCAGCCCTGCATCCCTGTGTCTGGAAACCACTGACCTGCTTCTGTGAGTTCATATTCCTATAGATAGAGTTGCACAGCATGTGACCTTGTGTGTCTGGCTTCTTTCACTTAACATGTTCCCAAGACTCACCCACTTTGTGATGTGAACTAGTGCTTTGATGTTATGGCTAAGGGCTGGCCCTATCCTGTCTACCCGTGATAGACATTTGTGTTGTTTCCATTTTGTCATGCTTGTGAGCACTTGTGTGTAGGGTTCACTGTAGACGGGCATGTGTATAATTCCTCGAATGGCCCGAGGATTGCAGTTCCCACAGCCCCCACTCACCACCAGGGACAAAGGTCCCAGTCTTTTCATACCTTGTCCCTGGGCTCTTGCCCCCTGTCCCCCTGCCTCTGCCCACTTGCCAGCACGTGGAAGGGCCTCAGGAAAAGGCATTAGCTGATATGTTGTCTACCTGGTGGGCATTGTACTGTTCCAAAGTGCTGAGCCTCCCACAGCCTCTGTGTCTCCATCACTGTTACGCCTCTTAGATCCATACCCCCTGCCTTCACCTTTTCTTCCCCATGCCCATTCTCCTGCTATCCAAGATGTTCTTGCTGCCTCTGGTCCATCATTCTAATCACAGCTGGCTCCCCCCCCCCCAGGAATACTTCCCCACCCACCCTGGGACTCAGTGTCTTCACTCCAGACCCTGGGACTCAGTGTCATCTCCACACTTCTCAGCTCACAACATCTCTTTGTCTCCTGTCCCTGCCAGTCCGTAGCCTCGGTGGCAGGAGCTAGGGTGGTGTGATAGAATCAGCTGACCTTTATCCAGCACTGACATCCCGAAAAGGGACCTCACCTTAGATAAGGCCCCTGTTCAGGGAAGCAGCTGGGATTAGAGAAATCCAAGTTGGGTACAGTGGTGTGTGCCTGCAGTTACAGCTGGCTAAGGCAAGAGGCTCTCTTGAAGCCAGCCTGAGCAAAATACCAAGACCCTAAAAAAAAAAAAAAAAAAGAAGAAAGAAAGAAAGAAAAAGGAGCCAGTGAGATGGATCAGTGGATAAATACTGCCACTGCCAAGCTTGAGGACCTGAGTTCAGTCCCCGGGATGGAAGGAGAGGACCACCTCCCATAAATTGTGCACACCAGCACACATGAACACAAAGATGTAATAAATTTTAAAGTTGAATTAAAGAGGCCTGGCCAGTATCACTACAACTTAATGCACAGACAGATTTGGCCACCTATGTGGCACATAGACCTGTATTTAGGGTGGTGTCTTGTTCCAAGTCTGTGGGCCTGACCTGAGGAATCAGATGTTTGCTTGCATCTTGCCAAGGCATGCCATTTCCTCACAGGCTTTTTTCTTGTCAGTTATTCGCATACAGTTTCTTAGGGCATAATGTCAAGAGGAACAGTTGCACCACAGCCACTGGAAGTGTTCTTCACAGTCAGTTTCCCTCAAGTTCCCTAGAGCATTTCCTGTTGGGAGGCAATGCCCCTTATTTACAGCAGCTGCTAGCAGCCCTTGAATGACAGGTTCTTACATAGGGATTAGCCAAGTGACAAGACAGGAAATTCAGAGTCATAAATACATAAGGAGTTCAGCATAAGGGTGCACACCTGTAATCCCAGTGCCAGGAGGCAGAGGCAAGGAGGATTGTGAATTCTAGGCCAGCCTGGACTACTTGGCAAGACTGTGTCTCAAAAACAAGCAAAACAAATCCCCAAGCCTCAAATATCGAAACACAAGTATGGTAGTGCCAATTACGGTCTTCTTCTTCTTCTTCTTTTTTTTTTTAAGGCAGGGTTTCTTTGTGTAGCCTTGTCTGTCCTGGAACTCACTGTTGGCCAGGCTGGCCTCGAATTCACAGAGATCTACCTGCCTTTGCCTCCCAAGTGCTGAGATTAAAGGTGAACATTACCACCTTCTAGTGCCAATTCCAGTCTTAAAACATACATTGAAGTTTATAGCGTATACACTTTTTTTTTTTTCCTATCCAGAAAGACACTTCTTGGACCGGTTTATGGGTCTCCTATTGAGCACACACAGGTGCTCCCCGTGAAATCCACACTAGAGCTGCAGAAGCGCTACTTGGTATTCATCAATAAAGACAAGGTAGGCTTCCCTTCTCTGCCCCAGCAAGATGACTGTGCCATGAGTCCAAAGACAGTGAGACCCAGGGCCTGGGAGACTGCTGGCTGGCCAGGGAGGGTGCTTATTGCCTCATCTGGTGACCACGGTTTGAGCCCTGGAACCTGGTGAGAGGAGAGACTGCCTTGGGAAAGTTGTCCTCTGACTTCCAAACAGGCACTGTGGCACGTATGTCCTTTCCCAAATAAATACACTTAATAATAAAAGAGATGATAAGACCCATGGGTCCTTAGTTCTGCTGCACAGAATAACATCCATCTGGTCGTTGGCCAAACTGAAAATTACCACATAGTGAAAATGGCTTCTGGGAAGCATTTCTTTTGCTTTAATTTCTCTCTCTCTCTCTCTCTCTCTCTCTCTCTGTGTGTGTGTGTGTGTGTGTGTGTGTGTGTGTGTGTGTGTGTGTGTGTGTGTGTGTAGGCATGCCCTTGCAGTGTGAGTATGGAGGTCAGAGGACAACTTTCAGGAATCAGTTCTCTTCTTCTACCATGTGGGTCCTGGGAGTAGAACCCAGGTAGGCCTGGAAACAAGTACTTTTACCCACTGAGCCATCTCACAGGCCCCTAGGAGACATTTTTGAATGGAGTTCTCAGAGTTTCCCAGTGAAAACTCACAGCTTTCCTGTCCTGCGCGCTATATGTTCTCGCCGGCAAGAAATACACGCAGGACACTCGGATCCTTCTGCAGGAAAGCTTTAATGCATCTTGAGAGGGGAGAACATAAGCTTACCAGAGCGGAGACCCTGAGCCAAGAATCCCTTCCCTAAATAAAGGCTGGCAAGCAGCTGCCTGGGACATGTTACCCTATGAATGGCTTCAGCTCCTCAGGCCAAATGAGCCACAGGATAGGCAGAGATCAAAGGAACGGAAATTACCCAGCGCCTGTGAAATAATTTACATTTGGTGTCTGCAGGCACCATCATTGTAATGGAGAATGTAGGAACGGCTCCCTACACTTTCCAAATTATGATTTTCTTTCTTTTTACTAGCCTGGAAATTCTAATTTACATGGAAGACACACAAATCAGTTGCACCCAGTCATATGTTAAACTTGACTCTGACAGATGGCTCCAGATGTGTACATGGCTTGGGTATGTCAGGTTAGTGTGAGACTCAGGTACTCAAGTCTGAGTAGCTAATTATACTTGCCTCTCTAGGTTGGACTCCAGATCTTACCCGTTGACGGCAACCCACACAAAACATGTGCTATCATTTGCCACCCAAGTGGGGTGGCTGGAATGGCACTTTCCTATGATGGCAGCTATGCCTTCACAGCAGGAGGCCAAGATTTCTCAGTGGTACAGTGGGAAATCAACTTAAGGTACGTGAGGGGTTATAACCCCTCTATAAGGAAGTATAGACGTCTTTTTTAAAAATGTGTGTGTGTGTGTGTGTGTGTGTGTGTGTGTGTGTGTGTGTGTGTATTCATGTTAGTATGCACTCATGAATGTGGGTGCCTCAGAAATCCAGAAGGGGACATTGGATTTCTTGGAGCAGGAGCTTTGCAGTTGTGAGCCTCCTACAAGAGAACAAGCGCTTATAATCACTGAGCCATTGCTCCAGCCCTTAGACCCCTCTTTTCATTCAATTGCAACAGACAGTTACAGAGTCCTGCTATATGCCCCATGTTGTGCTAGGGGAATGGTACCTGGCTCTCAGGATGCTTCCTAGTGACATTATGTGCAGCTCAAAGGCTACTGTGCAGTCTCATGGACCATGCACCACATTTCCAGCTTGGATGGTGAGAGTGCCCCTGGCTCCGCTTGGCTCCCTGAAGTATTTCTCAGTATCTGTACAAACTCATGCCGGCCATAGGGGCCAGGGCCAAGCCTCCAAAGTGGGCATTAAAGAAACAGTAAGGGTGAATTAAGAATCTGTTGTCAGTCAGCTCCTGTGCCCCTCTCTGCCCTGAGAGGAGACCTGCTCTGCCTGTAGTGAGGCTGAAAACCACTAAGCTTGTACATCAGAGTAAGACTATAGGTACTTTAAGGTCAAAGAGCTAAGGGGTTCAGTATAGCTTGGAGTTTCTGCTCTCGAATCTGAGCGCTTTTCTTGATATCACTAATCCTTGCAGTCTGTCTGTGAAGTGGGGGTAACAATCTTTATAGGGTCCTGTATGGATCAGATGGGTTGACAGAGGTGAATGCAGTAACCAGTCTGTAAGTTACAGCATCCTTCCTTCCTTTTCTTCCTGAAAAGGGCATTTGTGTATGAGATGGGACAAGTGGTTAAAGTGATCCTCTCACCCATGTAAATGCAGTGATCTGAACAAGGGCAGAGCCAAGGAGTAGGTGGCAAGATCATGTATGTTTCCATGACCCCGTCCCTGATCCTGCAAGCTTCAGGGGCAGATGGCAGAGGCACCTTCCTCCCTCAAAAAACATGGCTCTCAGTAACGTCTGCCCCTGCCATCTGCCAAATGCACATCTTTCTCTTTATGGCAGATGTTAACGCTTCCTTCTTACCCTGAACTTGAGTGAAAATAGCTGGCAAACTCTGTTTTGGTGCCGTGATGGCTTCAAATTGCAAGTGCAACTCTGCCTTTTGCCTCTGCTCTCTGAGTGAGTTGATCAAAGGAACTGGGGTACTTGGAAACTGGAGGTGAGCTAGCTCTCCATCTAGAAGCACTTCTCCAGTAGGCCCACTTGCCACCTGCAATCCTTGGGACCAGTGGCGTTTTGGAGGGAGGTGAAGTCTCCCCCTTTTGAATTTTGTCCTCAGTCACTGTGGGATCCAGTAGGGAATTCCAGTAGCTTCCCTATGCTTGGCCAGAATCCAGGCTTCTGAGAATTTCAATTTAATCTGTTGTGGGGACAAAGGATCATTATAAACTAATTAGCACTTTATTGCTGCTTCTGGTGACTTAATATGTTCAGCATTTCACTAATGGAAAGAAGTGTAAAAACCCCAAACAAGTAAACAACGCAATTCTCTCCAGGGCCCAGGCTGTAGCTTAATTGGTAGAGTGCTTGCCTAGCATACAACACGCTTTGGTTCCATTCTGAATACCACAGACATGTGTGCTGGCTAGTTTTATATCAACTTGACAAAGGCTAAAGTCATCTGAGAGGAGGAAACCTCAATTGAGGAAATGCCTCCATAAGATCAGGCTGCAGGCAAGCCTGTATTTTCTTAATCAGTGATTGATGTGGAAAGACCCAGCCCATTGTGGGTGGGGCCACCCCTGGGCTGATGGTCCTGAGTGGTGGTGATGGTGGTGGTTCTTCTTCTTCTTCTTCTTCTTCTTCTTCTTCTTCTTCTTCTTCTTCTTCTTCTTGTTGTGTATTCCTGGCTGCCCTTAGACTCACTCTGTAGATCAGGCTGGTCTCAAACTCACAGGGATCCACCTGCCTCTGCCACCCAAATGCTGGGACTAAAGGCGTGTGCTACCACTGCCCAGCTGCCCTGGGTTCTATAAGAGAGCAGGCTGAGCAAGCCATGGAGAGCAAGCCATTAAGCATCCATGGCCTCTGCATCAGCTCCTGCCTCCAGAGTCCTGTCCTGTTTTCGTTCCTGTCCTAATTTCCTTTGATGATGAGCGGAAGTGTTAAGCCACATAAACTCGTTCTTCCCCAAGTAGCTTTGGTCACTGTGTTTCATCACAGCAAGAGCAACCCTAAGACAACCCATCATGGTGGCACATGCCGATAACCCCAGCACTTGGGAGGTGGAGGCAGGAGGATCAGAATATCAAGGTCATCCTTGACTTTATATTGAGTTGAAGGTTAGCCTGGGTTACATAATACCTTCTGTAAAACAAAAGAAGTTTTGTACTAAATTTACTGATGACAGCACTATAGAGTGGAGTGAAGTTGAAGAACCTCCCATCTCCACCCTGCTCAAATAAAAGCAGAGACCAGATTCAAGTCCCAGCTTGGTCAGACATGGTAGCACACAACAGTAATCCTAGTCCTCCAGAAGTAGCGGCAGGAGATCGGCAGTTCAAGGTCATCCTCAGCTACATAGTGAGGTCAAGGCTAACCTAGGTTGCAGGAAATGTAAAAAACAACAACAAAGATAATCCTAGGCTGTAACTCCCCTGGGCCCCAGCTTTTCCATGCCTGCTTTGGGGACCATCTTCCAGGCACTTGCCTGATGCTACTCATGATGTTCCTGGTATCTCTAGCTTCAGCCCCTTGCCTAGAAGCTCCATGCTATTCCTGAGCACACATATGTTCAATAAATGCCACTTTCCAGGGCTGGAGAGTTGGCTTAGCGGTTAAGAGCACTTGTTGTTCTTGCAAAGAACCGGGCTTTGATTTTCAGCACCCATATGGAGGCTCATCCTTAGGCATGCATGTGGTACACACACATATATATGCAGGCAAAGCACCCATACACACCAGATAAAATCTAAAAAAATAAATAAATGCAACTTGGCTTCTATGCCCTAGTGATCTCTCTCTCTCTCTCTCTCTCTCTCTCTCTCTCTCTGTGTGTGTGTGTGTGTGTGTATTTAGACCCCAATTTAGGCGCAAGGAGGCTTTTGGGAAGGTGACTGGAATGCCATGTGGCTGCTTGACCTGCAGCTCACTTGTGGCCCTCAGCCTTCTTCCTACCTAGCTTCGCCCTCAGTGTCCACCTCTGCAGCTTCCTCGGATTGTAGCTCTTGCCACAGACAGAATGAGTCTTTTTCTTTGCTCTGGTTAGGAGAAATGTGGTCCCTCTAGGGTCAACATACAGTGGCAGGAGTGGGCACATGTGGCACAATGCTGACAGCAGAGCCTAGAAAGTCGGGCCATCCTTGAAAGCCAAGTGCATTTGCAGCCTTACCCTTAGGGCTTCCTGGTGGTGACAGGCTCCCATGTCACTTCTGGCCCTGATACCCTTGCTCTAGGCAGCATGTCTAAAAATGGCTTTGTTACCTGTTGGGTCAGGAGCAGGCCAGGTTTGGCCACAGAGAAGGAACAGCCTAGCTGATCACCTGCCTTCATAGCTTCCTGTCAGAGCCAAGAAGCAGGTGAAGACAGGACACTGTAAGCAAGGACCTCAGGCTCATATGGAGAACAAATGCATCAGGCCCTCCCCTGGTCTCAGCAACAGGGCAGAGGGCATTTTGTGCCTCTTATGAGGAGGGTAAAGACATGTCGGTGCTTGTCAGCCCTTGGTACAGACAGAGCTGCGCTTCTGGGCTTGGCCCCTTCCTGGATGTTTTACATATGCATCTTGACTTCATCCTCACAGCCATCCTGGGAGAAAAGTGCTCTTCTTACTCTCACATACAGGTCACTAAACTTCCAAAGGGTCTGTTGATAGCTCAAGTGATGGAATGGTACCCGAGAAAAATAAAGGGCCTGCAGCAAATGCTTCAAGTGTGTTTCCTTATTTAATTCTTGTGGCAACCCTGTATGACCCTACCCATTTCACAGATGAGTAAACTGAGCAGAGGTGGGCATTTCTCATAGTCACACAGCTCACAAGTGGCATAGTTGGGGTTCACACACATGCCCCTGTGACTTTAGTTCTGGATCCTTCAGCTCTTCATCGAAGGTCTTCACTGAAGTGGGTTCTAATTCACCGAACCAGCAGAAATCCAGTGAGTGGCTTCTTTTTTTCCAGTAACTTTAGATTGTTTGCCTTTTGTGTGAGGAAAAGTCAGTTGATCTCATGCAAAAGTAGGTTTTCTTCCCATTCAAAGGGACTATTTTTGGAGACTCTCTGACCCTGTGCTGGAGAGCAGAGAGGTATTTTTATCCACTTGGCATGGGTCCCTGTGATCTCCCGGGCTTTTCTGGAAGCAATTAGCGCTGGCACTGCACCTGTACAGCATCCGTCCTTTTGGTATTGGTTGGCTGTTCTCAGCTCAAGAGGGTTGAGGTCTCAGACTAGAGCCTCCCCTCACCCCCAGGAGAGATGTGGTCCCCAAAGATTGTAGACAAATTGCCAGGCACCTGCCCTGTCATCAGAATGAGCCTATCACCATAATTAAGGTGGGTGCCCTGTACGGCTGCGTTCCACACTCAAAATTGAATTTTTTGTCACAGGCTTCATCACTGAGGGACAGAGACCCTGCAGAGGCCACCATCTGTGCGACAACTCCATGACTTCATGCATGAGTTCTTCCTAATGGTGATGTTTCTCATTGTTCCAGTGCCCTGGATGCAGCTGTTTCCCTTGGGGGTGAAGACCTGACCCCGTTCTACGGTCTGGTGCCTGGTGGTAGAGAAGGAAAATTCTACAGGGTAATTGTCATCAAACATCTCCTGGGGACATCTAGTCAAGGCAAACATCAGAAACTAACCCACTGTGCTTTTCCATAAAGTCCCCTCACATCACTGAACTTAGTATACACTTTCTAGAAAATGTCCCCTCCATGGATATTTCTGAGTTCCATGCGCTGTTTCTGTCTGGTTCCACACAGGAGCTGGAGGACTATTTCTACTATTCTCAGATCCGCACTCAAGGCATTGACACGATGGAGACCAGGCAGGTGTCGGAGCACATCTGCCTATCGGAGCTCCCTTTTGTCATGAGAGCAATTGGCTTTTACCCATCAGAGGAGAAGGTAGGTAGAACACACACACAAGATCAGCACTGGGATGGGCTATTTATATCAAGTATCTCCGGGAACAGTCACTGCAGGCCAGCCTGGAAACATGCCATTTTTCTGAAGTAAATAGATCAGCAGGAAGATTCTGAGGACTTCAGATGAACTGAGTAACTGACTGGAGGTAAAGATGTGCCCGTTCCCCAAGAAAGACTCCCTGTGGATGTGTGGTGTTACACATAGCAGGGCCTCTTTAACCTTTGCTGCCTGCACCATCCCACCCCCTCTATTTTTTTTTTCTTTGAGACAGGATCTCTATGTACCCCTGGCTGTCCTGGATCTTGCTCTGTAGACCAGGCTGGCCTCAAACTCAGAGATCCCTACCTCTGCCTCCCAAGTGCTTGGATTAAAGGCGTGTGCATGCCCAGCCTGCAAACCCTTTTTTGCCCAAGCATTTTTTACACAACCCTGGATATATTAGTATATAAAATAGGTACACAACTCAAACATTTGCTGATAATAAATGATGAAGAAACCTATTTCAAAGGAATTTTGTGGTTTCCATACAGTTTTACCATTTGTTGAAGACAAAAACAAATTTGCATACTAGTGAGATGTTGTGCTCATTTCTTCTTGCATAAAGAATTGAATCTCAGCTGAGTGTCCATGCTGCAGACTGTAGAGTACCTTCAGTGCTTCTCAGAGGTGCCTGAGATTTGATTTTGTAACTGTTAATACCAAGAATACTGCTTCCCATAAATGCATGGTGCCAAAAAAACCAGGGGGTATTTAGGGCCATTTCAGAAATTGTCAGAAAAACTATCTAATCCTGAGTCAAAATTCATTCAGTGATTTTTAAAAAATGAAACTTGAGTCAGCAATTCTTTAATCAAACATTTTGGGCTGAGGATCTAGCTCAACAAGAGAGCTCTTGCCTACAATGCCTGAGGCCCTAGGTTCAATCCCCAAGACCAGGGGCAAAACAATGAAACTTCTCACAGAGTACATTCCAAATATATTCTAACACTCACATGCTGAGTAGCGATGTCAGGGGAATATGAAAAGTCTTTTCTCTGCAGAAAACACAGTGCAGTCTGCAGTGTGTAGCCTTGGATCCCAGCCGAGGATTTTGTGGGCACTCAGTGGTGTTTTGTGGCATGGTGGGATTCCTGGTGAGATGCACGAGTGTGTTCAGAACCAAGGCTGCATCAAGGTTGCTTGACCAGCACAGGCTGCCGAGAGTGCCTCGGATTGATTGCGAGTTTGACTTCAAACATATTTTCAGTTGTTATGTCTTCAGAAAAACCATTTACTGTCGCCAAGCTTGCTGCAGTCCCTCCCTGCATCCATTCATGGCCCCATTATGGGGCTGCAACCATGTCTTTAAAAAGATTTATTTATTTTTATTTAATATGTATGGATGTTTTGCCTTCATGTATGTTTGTGTACCATGTGTGTGTCTGGTGCCCATGGAGGCCAAAGAGGTTGCTGGGTCCCCCAGGAACTGGAGTTAAAGACAGCTGTAAGCCGCCATGTGGGTGCTGAAAACTGAACCTGGGTCCTACAGAAAGGCAACCAGTGCTCTAACCACTGAGCAGCCTCTCCAGCCCTAAACTTACAATTTAAGAGGCAGAGAGTCAGGGGATGAATGGGTGAGCAGAACTGGGCATGTGATCAGGCAAGGACTGGAACTCTGGACTTCAGGGGGATGATGTGTTCAAGGCAGGGAGCACATCATGGGAACTGTAGAGAGAGCTCAGTGGTTGTGTTGTCCTTCTGTATAGTTGCCATTAACCTATGTTCTTGGGGCAGCTCTGGGAGCGGGGTGGATGCTGGTCCTGACTCTGTAGCTCAGACATCAGGCTGACCACGTATTAGGAATCCCCAAACACTAACAGCTCTGGACAGGGACAGGAGCCCACGTGTGTTCCTCACAGGATCTGCTCTAAATATAACTTACAGAGCTTTCTTTCCGAGTCGAAACATGAGACATTCTCATTGCAGAAAATCTGGGAAAGATATGCAGGTAGAATGAAGAAAAAGTTACTTGTAATATAACCTTACCACCCAGCCTTAACAGTTACTACTGTCTTGCTGGTGTTTATGCATTTATACAGTGAATGGTCACCACACTGAATATATAGGACTATCTTGACTCCTTATATTGTATGATACGTCATAAGCACTTTCCATTTGGTTAGAAATTCTCTAGAAAAAAATATGTTCTTCTTCAGATACGTATTCTGTGTTTGTATGTGGTGTGTGCATGTGGGGGTGTTGTCTTGCCTATCTCTTGCCCTTTTTAATATTTATTGTTTTTTTGAGATGGGGTTCTCTGTATAGCATCTCTGGCTGTCCTGGAGCTCACTCTGTAGACCAGGCTGGCTTCAAACTCACAGAGATCCACCTGCCTCTTCCTCCCCAGTGTTGGGATTAAAGGTGTGTGTCGTCACTACTGGTTTAAAATTTTATTTTATTGGAGGTATACCGTGATATGCCAGTGGGCAACTACGTGGAGCCAGACTCGTTTTGTTGAGTGGCAACTATGTTTACCCCTTGAGCCCACCTTTTTTTTCGGGGGGGGGCGGTTTCGAGACAGGGTTTCTCTGTGTAGCTTTGGAGCCTATCCTGGCACTTGCTCTGGAGACAAGGCTGGCCTCGAACTCACAGAGATCCGCCTGCCTCTGCCTCCCGAATGCTGGGATTAAAAGCGTGCGCTACCAACGCCTGGCCTTATTCACCTTTTTAAATTTTATTTATTTTGGGAATGGGCCTCTCACTGAGGCTCGAGCTCACTCTTCTGGGTAGATTCTCTGGCCAGTGAGCTCCCAGCATGTGCCTGTTTCTGTGCTCGCCCAGGGCTGGAGTTTCAGCTGCACCTGGCTCTCCACAGGGATCTTTCACTTGTTTATCCAGAAACCTCTTTACCCACTGAGTCATCTGGGTAAGGGATATATTTTGTTGTTGAGGCATAGATCAATGGTAGCCCATTTGCCTAGCATGTGTGAGGCCTTGGGCTCAATCACTAATACAACACACACATAAAAAAATTAATTTCGGGGCTGGAGAGATGGTTCGTGGTTAAGAACACCAACTACTTTTCAAAGGACCCAGGTCCAATTGCCAGCACCCATGTAGTAGCTCAGAGCCATTTATAAGCCAGTTGCAAGGGTTCTGTCACCCTCGTCTGGCCCCTATGGACGCACACATATGGTGCACAGACATACATTCAGGCAAGCCTTTATACACCTAAAATAAATAAAATAAAATAATGTTTAAAAATAAAAATAAATATTTGTATAACTTTTTTAAATATAGAAAATAGGACTGTAGGCTGAGAATGTTATTTTGGTTGAATCTTTGCCTGCCATGCACCAATGCCTGGCTTGAATCCCCAGCACCATATAACCTGGCTGTGCTAGCTTTTACCTGTAATCCCAGCACTTTGAATGTGGAGGGAGGAGCTTCAGAAGTTCAGGGTTATCCTCAGTTACATAGCAAATTTGAGGCTAGCCTGCCTCAAAAACCAAAACAAAACAAAGTTATTAGGGACAATCACTTAATATTTTGGTGAATTCTCTTTCTATTGTTTATTTTTAAACAAAAAATTGACATTCTGTGGTATAAATATGTACCTATATGTATGGCAGCGTTAAACTGTACACACACATATGTAGTTTAGTGAGGGAATGTTTACACACATAGTATCAGTATTTTAAGTTTCCACTGTTTTGTGAGCTTGGTGGTAAAAAACTCAGTGATGAGCCTTTAAGAAGCAGGGACCCAACTGGCTCCTCCCCCAGCATCCCTCAGCTGGTGCCTTCTGGAGCATTTGGCTTTAGAGACCCAGCTGTCCTGAGCATCTCTGTGTGTGTGTTGTATACTTTTCTGTTTCCATGGTTCAGAGTCCAAGTAGAATGACTGTGGCTGAGACAATGAGCTTTCAGGTCCTGTTGCCAGCCAGATGTGACACACTCACCTGTGATCAATGGTCAGGAAAGCCTGTATAGCCCATATAAAAGTGTTTCTTGAGCTGGTGGTATGTTGTCCCACTGTTCTGGAGGCTGAGCCCAGGGATTCAGGCTTGACAGGTTTTCTGTAACCTGATAATAGTTACCTTTTTTTTTTTAATTCTTCTTTAGAGCTGTATTTTTATTTTGTTTTTTGTTTGTTTGTTTGTTTGTTTTTGATATAGGGTCTTCCCGTGTACCTCTGACCTGAAACTTGTTATGTAGACCAGGTTGGATTCAAATTCATAGAGATCCACCTGCCTCTAAATCTAGAGTGCTGGGATCAAAGGTGTTAATGACACATGCCCTGCCCTTATGGCTGTATTTTAGCAATATTCTTAGACACTGGTTACCCAAACTGGCCATCATATTAGAATTACTTTGAACACTTGTCAAGTAAGTGAGATGGATTCCTAACCCTCACCCCAGGCTGAGAGCCATAGACAGCAAGGACAGGGCAGGCAATGTAGGGTCTCATCTGCCCAGGGTCTTTCAGATATGCAGCCACCTGGAAAACCCTTGCCCCAGATACTGGCTCTAAGTGGCATTCCCCAAGGCTACCCACCATCAAGGATAGGGGCTCAACACACACTGCAGGATTATTGGTCAGGAATCCTCTTTGACTGTAAGTCACAGGTACCTAAGTCATGCCAGGCTTTGGTTCAAAGAATCCAAGTGTGAAGTAGACACAGTGTGCAGCTTAACCGAACCCAGAGCCTCAAATGCCATGCCAGGGAGCACCCTTCTCTCCGGGCCTCGCTTGCCTTTGTGTTGCCTTGGACTGTGACCTGTCCTCAATCCTGCCTGTGCCTAGGAGGCCACAAACACTAAAGAGCCTCCTTTCCAGAGCCCTGGTCACCACCTGGTAACACTGGGCCTGACCTCATCACTGTCCAGGAGGTGATAGTGCACAGTTTTAATCCTGAGTGCACAGCACTCAGGAAGCAGAGGCAGGCAAATAGATCTCTATGAGTTTGAGGACAGCCTGGTCTACAGAGGGAGCTCCAG